GCTGCAAGTTCTGGGAAAAGCCCAAAGAGAAACATTTAGATTGGAGGAGTCTTTGAGAAGATGTGACAGTTGACTGATGAGCATCCATAAAATGACAAAGCATTGCTGTGTGGAGCCTGTGCATCACATTGCCTCACCCTGGGAAAACTAATTGCTTTGAATTGTTCATAGTAACATTATTTTTCTGGCAATCATTTCTTTTGAATACTCAAAATGAGCATGAAACAGCTCCTTTGACTGGACATAAAAGTTAAATGTCCCAATGTTGATCAAATTAACTTCAGCTATGTGACAATGGACTATATTTGTGAGAAAATAATGAAGGTCACAAAGGGGGGCTTTATGCCAAGATTTCACAGTTGTAATGTAAAAAAATGTTTCTGTTCAACTAGGCCAAGTTATGCTTCAAAGAGAAAAAAGAAGGGCACCATCACGTTTGGAAGGAGGAACAGCCCCTCCCCCTGACATGGTTTAGATAAGTTTAGGACTGATTTGGACTAATGTCTTATTATCCTGCTTGCCTCTATGATTTTAGCCAAATGTTCACAAAAGTACTGAATCCTTCAATTCCTGGTAAAAAAAGGCTCAGTTGATTTTCTTCCATTTCCCCAACACTGACCTGTTTCAAAGTAATGGAAAAGGTTGAAAGCATAAAACAATGCTAAGACCACAGACTTCTGGAAGAGTAAGTCACATATTTCCAAATCTCATAAATTGTATTAACTAAAAAAGTTTACATATTACATTAAAATAGCATACATATGGGATCTAATGCAAATAGTTTATACAAGAAACTTCTGCTGGGCTTCAATTCTTACAATTTTTAAAAATTTCCTTTGATTGGGGAAAGTTTTCTTTAAAAATCACCTTATAGAAAATGCTATACATGTGTCCGATAGTAGTACTGATTAGTTAACATGACAATTCGATAAAAACTTTTAACAATAATTAGAGTATGCTATATACTTGTTTCATTTTCCCCTTTGGAAATTTTTATTTGTTCAGTATTGTCCTAGTCCTTTATATTATCAACATTTTAACATTAAAAACCCACCTCACAAATACTAGTTTCCTTGCAACACCTTGGATTCTATGCAATGTGTGAATTATTATCTAAGTTCAACTCTTTTTATCATACTTAAATCCATCCTTTCAAAAAAGTCAATTTGCATTCATTCCTTTTTGTAAATAATTAAGATAGAATGCAGTGTACCATGGTCACTTCAATCTTGCATAAATAGTTATAATAAACTGGTGTTCACACTGGCCAAGATGCATCTAGTAGACAGGACTGTTTCACTTACTCCCACAGCGACTTAAATCAACTGTGAAAAGATGTTTCAGTTTCATTCAGTAAGGGTTTAGCTCATTAAACTCTTTTCCTTCTCAGTATTGTTCCTGGAGCTTCAACTGCATTGCTGTTAAATGCTCTTTAACAGTTTAAAGGCTTTAGAGGAAAAGACTTATCTCTCTCTGGTTTTAACAGCACTAAAACTGCATTATTAGGGCATGCAGATAAGGGGATTTAAAGGCAGGGCTTGAAACCTCTCTCTGGCACCATATCACTTCTGCAGCTCAGCTGGAAATGTAGAACTATGGAGCTTTAAAGGGAGATTAAAAAGCCAAGAATAGAAGTACTTTCTTTCCTATAGATGCTCTCACTTTCCCCTTTCCTACTGTCTGAAGGAGTGATGGCAGACAATGGTCCAAGATGGTTCCCAAAACCTCGTGAATGGGGGCACTGTTGGTGGTAGCATTCATTCAAAGTGAGCTTCAGTGTATTGTCCTCCCCAATCAGCAGATCAGAATAGAGTTTGCTGGTGGCTGCCAAAAGGTTAGCAGTGCTGATGAAAGGGGTTTCCCATTATTCACTGCTCTTACAGAACTACCCTTTTGTGCTTGGGCAGCCCATCATTTAACTATGGAGGTCCGGATCTGTGGCTGGCTGCTTTCTCAAAATGAGCAATCTATGTGAATGCAAGCCCCACAGTGGTAGCACCACCTAAAATTGAGGGTTTTCTTTTCTAAAAGGCAAGAGAGCTGGGCTTGATTTTGGCACTGTCACATTGCAATGATATACCACCATGACATCCTTGACCTACAATTAACACTACTGCAACCAGACAATCTTCTAATTCTTGTCAAGGCATTTGTGGAGAGGTCCACAAGTCCCCAACAAGTCTAAGGAACACACAGAGAAAATCATTAATAATAAACAAGAGGTTCCTTAGACCATCACAATAAAAGTAAAAGCAATGGAAGTAAACCACAGATTCCCTTGAAGAATATTACCAATGCACAGAAAGTAGTCTCGGCTGAGACTACAGAAAGCAGCCTATTAACATGATATTCATTAGAGCAAATTGGACAGAGGCTCAATCACGGTCCACTAGCAGATCACTGGTCAATTTCCACTTGGCCACCTAGTGCCTGCTGGTTGCTAGGATTCTTGCAAAGAATGCTGGCCCAGGTGGACCATAATCTTATCCAGCAAAGCACGTCTTATGTTCTTAAGCAAGAGTGCACCCTCCTGATCACTTAACATGGATTAGTTATTTATTTTATTATTTAAAACATTTCTATGCCGCCCCATCGCAACAAAGCCTCGGGGCGGCTCACAACACATAAATACTAAAATTATACAATAAATAATACAATAAATAACACTCCCCCCCCAGTGCATTCTTGGCTTAAACAAAAAACCTAGTTAATAAATAATTAACAGTTAAAATAAGTTTTAAATAAAAAGGTCTTAGCCTGGCGCCGAAAAACAAATAACGACGGCGCCAGGCGGACCTCTCTGGGGAGCGCATTCCATAAATGGGGCGCCACCGTAGAGAAAGCCCTCCTCTGGGTGCTCACCCTCCTAATCTCATTCACAGAGGGTTCCCGGAGGAGGGCATCTGCTGCTGACCTCAAGGGGTGGGAGGGAATATATGGGCGCAAGCGTTCCTTTAGATAACCAGGTCCCAAGCCGTTTAGGGCTTTATAGGTCATAACCAACACCTTGAATTGGGCCCGGACTTCAATCGGGAGCCAGTGGAGCTGATGGAGAACTGGGGTTATATGAGAACAACGCCCAGTCTCCGTCAGCAACCTGGCAGCTCTATTCTGCACCAACTGAAGTATCCAGACCGTCTTCAAGGGTAGCCCCAAGTAGAGCATGTTACAGAAATCTAATTGGGAAGTTACCAGCGCGTGTGTCACTGTTGCCAGGCAGTCATGCTCTAGGAAGGGATGCAGCTGATGTATCAGCCGAAGCTGAAGGAAAGCGCTCCTCGCCACCGCCGTCACCTGAACTTCCAAAGACAGCTCAGGGTCGAGGAGCACTCCTAAGCTGTGAACCCTGACCCTCAGAGGGAGTGCAACCCCATTTAGGACAAGGCCCAAGTCCCCCATCCCGAGGTCTGATCTGCCCACCAACAGGACCTCCCTCTTGTCTGGATTGAGCTTCAGTTTACTGGCCCTCATCCAGCCCATTACCTCAGCCAGGCACCAGTTCAGCACAGCCACTGCCTCACCTGGGTTGGTGGAAAACGAGAGGTAGACTGGGTATCATCAGTGTACTGATGATTCCACAGCCCACACCTCCTGATGACCTCTCCCAGCAGTTTCATGTAGATGTTAAAAAGCAAAGGGGACAAAATGGACCCCTGTGGAACTCCACGGCATAACTGCCATGGCACAGAGCCATAGTCCCCCAGCACCACCTTCTGAAATCGGCCACTGAGATAGGTTATGCCTGAATAGCTGAGATATCCTGAGTATGTCTGCACTGTAAATTTTACAAATATTGGTAAGTCACAGGGTCTGGTGGCCCTGATTCAAGAAGGGATTGAAAAAGCACCTTATTGAATATTGGTTCAGTAAAGCCAGAATTGAGATTAAGAGTCCACTAGAAATAGCCAACTGAACAGTCAAAGTGCAGAACAGTTGAATCACACCAACTCAGACAATACATCTGAGTCTTCTACTACAAGGAACCCTATACTTTCTGGACTTGCAGGCCCTTTTCACAATTTGAGAAATTGCTGTGGGTGCCCTCACAAAATTCCTACTCAGTAGATTTTGGCTTTGGTATCTGGCCATCACATGCATGAATCTTAGCCTGCATCTTATTCATCAAAAAATTTCTTGTACATTGGATATCCCTGAATCTCTGTATTAATAATTGACCTGCTTTGCAGAAATTAACAAATGGAAGTAGAAATGGATTATCAATGAACTTTAAAGAGTTAAAAGGTAGGGTTTTTTTTTTTTCCAAAACTGAAGGATAAACACCCACCTCCTATAACACAATGGATTGAGAACCTTACAATGCTGCTGATGCATTTGTATAAAGTTGTAGGCATTTCCTATAAAATCATGTGTGTGTATAAAGCTCCTAGAATATTTTTTTACTCCAATAACATCTTTTTCAGAGATTTGCCAGCACATTCAGACCCTTTCAATGCTGCCTTAGGGTGCTCCTGGGTGCTGTGTTGGGAACAACAGCTCTATTAGATAACTTATGAACACGAGCAGGCCAAACCAGAAGCTAAAATCTATATTTGTTCTCTGAGCAACCAAGACTGTTGTGAAATAGGTGTCTCTTAAGTAGTGAAAGATGTACCTTGTTTCCTTAGTGGTGAAAAATGCATTTTGTATTCAAGTTACTTGTCCTTTGCCATCCTGCCATTTTGTGCTGGTGCTCAGAATATTTCCCAAACTGCCATGAGTAGGTTGCAGGTACAATACAAATATGCTATTTGGGTCTAGAAACAGAGTGTTGAACATGTTTATTGACCTTCAGGCAACAGTGGAAGGCCCATCTGATTTGTTCATTCATGCATATGGCAGGATTTCTAAAATTTCTGAACTTGGCAATTCTAAGCTTACCTTTCATTTTTTAAAAAAATGTGCTAGTTGTAGTTGGATTACATTTAAAAAGTTACAAGAATAATCTTTTCATATTCAGAAGACAATGAAAAATGTAGGGCAAAAAAGAGTCTACTACCTACCTGTCAAGTACATAACCAAGGGCCTTATTCCTTATTCCTGAGTAAACCGATGGGCTTGTTTCCCAAGCGACTAAATTGGAAGCATCATGGAAAAGATGAATGTTTACCAAGTCAAAGGCACTGTGACAAAAGGAAGAAAAGGAAGACTCAGAGTAAAACTAAGGACAAATAGCAAGAAGGAATGCAAATAATAATCTGAGCCTCTCTAGATTTTGATACTTTATGTTTAAGACTCCCTTTAAGTGTTTATGCTCAAAATTCTGTACACTCATTCTAACACCAAACATTTTCAAATATTAAAATACATTTGGAAATAAATCCTAACATTATTTATGAACTTATAATGGAAAGAATATCAGTAGAGATGGAATAGGTGTGAGTCAATGTTTCCTTTCCTATGTGGGAATAAGATAGGATTCCATTTTTATTTAAAAGTTGCCTCTCAAGTTACATTTGAAAAACACAGGGGAATCCTTATGAGAGTGACAGCTCTGAAGTATTTGAAATATATCACACACTAGAAGAATGACAAAATCACAAATGTTTTCAACAACTTTAAACTACAAATATCTTCTCTCTAATATAATCAAATATAATATACTTCAAATACTGATTTCAGCTTCATTTCAAGCTCACTTAGTGAACAAATGCTCCCAACACTTGTGGGAAGAAGCAGAGATAATATACAATTCATATCTAATTTCTCTTATTTTTTCTATAGGTTTTTGGATTCTAGCTCCTTTGAAACAGCTTGTGAAAATACTAGTACTTAAAATTAAGTGTGATTAGTGAGATAATTTAATCAAGACTAATTTATTAGTAATAATTATTTTCAAATATTAAAAAGAAAACAAAACAGAACTGAACTGAACAGAACTGAATTCAAATGAATAAACGAGAAAGCAGCCCTAAAAGTTCCTGCTGAATGATCTTTGGAAGAGGAACAGGAAGAGTGCAACCTTTTTACTTTTCAGTGTTTTTGTGCATTGATCCTTTTGAGCAACTGGACTGTACCCATTAGTTGGGGCTTTATTTCACAGTTGCTTAGCCTTTTTGTCACTATATTATTTAATACTGATATAAAGCCACTGGGACTGGGCATTAGAAAATCTGGATTAGGTTTCTCAAATATTAAATTATATTATGAAGTGAATCAATTAAGATTTATACCAAATATATTGAAGCCTTATAAAATAATATGGGCAGAGAAAGAACCACAGCAAATCTTTTAAATCTTTTTCTTAAACAGGATGATAAGAAGTGTGTAAAAAAGATAGAAAATCACCTTTAAAAAAATATGGTGTGAGTTTGGGAGACGTCCAGGGAAGAATTTATGCTGACAATTTCACCAATAATTCCAGTAACAGAAATTAGAGGATTCCCAAAAAAAGTGAGAGACAGCTTGAGAAAAGTATTTAAAACCCCCCAAATATTTAGGGTAAAAGACTGGATGGAGAAAATGGATAATAAGGAAAGGGTAATAGCATTATTTGGGAAAGAAAAATTAACCTGGTTTAATGTTATGCAACTGGAACAATGAACTATAGAATGGTTGAAGAAAAACAGTAAGTGGATAGACCTTATGAAATTTGAGCAGACTGTGATGTACAGGGAGACACAAGGTAGTATGCAAACAAGGAGGATTATAAGTGGTATATACATATGATTTTATTAGACAGGGAGGATATATATGCTCTTTAAAATCTCATGGGAAATGAATTTAGGGAAGGATATAGAGAAGGTGGAAAGGGGAAAATATGGGATAAGAGAATATTAAAATATGTCAATTAGAATTAAGGAAATTTTTTATGAATTCATATGGAAATTTTATCTGGACTACGAAGGAAAGCTAAGATATCTAGCTAAGTGTATCCTCCTGTACATACCATATTGAGCAACAATATGTTGTTGAGTGTTAGACTGGATAGACTGGACATGCACATGGTAGGCCTGTCATGAGTGGAATTGGCTGGAGGAGGGGTCAGACTAGATGGCTCAGGAGGCCTTTTCTGACTCACCTTGATTCTATGTTTCTATGTTTGTCAGGTAACTGTATGTAAGAATGTCCTCTTGGTTTTGGCACCCATTCTCTAGAATGCTTTCCCACATGTGTTCCAAAGGGTGGAAACTGTGGATAGCATCAGACAATTCTTGAAGATGTATCAGTTTACACAGATAGTTCCTGACTTGTAATGGCAATGCTCTGTTTTAGCATATTTTGATGTATTTATTATTTTACACAGTTTGTATATTAGATTTTATATAGCATGTCACACATTTTATGTATGTTACTTAGACATCTTAGGATGTCAAATGGTATACAAATAGTTTAAACATATAAAGTTGCACATAAAGGGAAACTTTTTTAGACTGACCCATTTAGATGCACTAAACTTTGGCTAGTTTACCAAAACCACCATTTGTATGTATATCCAAATCTAATCTGACAAACTGAATATAGCTTGTTTGTGGCTTTCAACTATGACTTAGAACTACATTTTGAAGCTTGTTTGTGAAACAGTTTGTACTAAATGTGGTTTGCTATTAGAAGTGCCAGCTAAATATTTGTATGAATATGCTATTAAAACGCAGAAAATGAAACTGTACGTCTGTAAGTGATGTACTGGAGTGTTGGACTGAATCTGAGCGTTCTAATCTCCACTTGGCCATGAAGCTAAGACTGGATGAGTTACTATCCGTCTAACCTTCTTCACATGGTTGTTGTGGAGACCAAACAGAAGAAATGGAGGGCCATTCAACCAGCCTTGTGTTCTTTGCAAAAAGAGGCAGAATATGAACATAATACAAAATTAATAATAAATAAATTGCAGAAGTTGTTATCCATTGATTTTATCACATACTGGAAAGAAAGCTTTTCTTTTCTATGCAAAAGTTGGTGCAAAAACAAATGTAATACACAGATGATTGTTTCTTTCAGCCAAAAAACATTTTAACAATTCTGCTGGAAGCTGTACATCATATATTTAATCATGTGATTTTCAGAATCAAATTCCTTGTTCATGCATAAATTCAAAATGCATAAACTTCCTTTTGCAAGTGACATGAAGTTAGGCTAAAAAGTTGCATGAGTTATTCCTGCTGTGACAACTAAGCACCATGCAAACTGCTGGTTTACAATTTCTTCACAATAGTGCACCTGTGTACAACATAACATTGTTATATACATAACTTCTCCTTTCATATTACGTACCAGTCAGTAATACACCACCTTGTTCGTATGAATCCTTTTCTGGACCATTTACACTGGAAAAGTAAAATAAAGTATAATATAAGCACATAAAAATACAAAAAACAGAAGGAGATGAACCTGCTAATAAGTTATATAAAATTATCCTTAAACACTTCAAATGAGAATGCACCAAGACAAGCATTCAAAGTGCATGACACAGGCAGGCTGCTTACCTGCAACTGTTGTTCTTCGAGTGGTCATCTGTGCATTACACATATGGGTTCTGCGCCTGCGCAGTGCCTCAGTTGGAAAGATTCCTCTAGCTAGGCATAGAATTTTCTGGTGGAAGCCCTACCTCTTTTCTGTTACTTGAGTAGCTGGGTTCCCGCCATTTTCTCAATTCAACTGGAGACTGTTGTTTGCCCTATGTGTATGTCTGTAAATGTCCTATCATTATATTCATACACATCCACTGACACCAATGTGGGGCTGGTGGGTGAGTTGTGTGAATGCACAGATGACCACTCGAAGAGCGACAGTTACAGGTAAGCAACCTGCCTTTCTTCATTGTGGTGTCTGTGCATCACACATATGGGTGACTTGCAAGCTTACTATAAAGGAGGTGGGAGGTGTTGTACATAAAAATAGGTAACAGCATATCCCAGCCTAGGGAGCAGCCCTGTCTGGCTCTAATATGGAGCCAAAAGTGGTGGAAGAAGGTGGATGTTGTCGCACACACATCTGGTCTGGACAACACATGGAATGGTGGTCTCTCTTGGAGTGCCACAGACGCCAATATCACCCCAATGTAATGTACTTTTAGAGTGTCTGGTAGCCTCAGTTGATAACGGGTATGCTAATTTAATTGTCTGTATGACACCATTGGGTATGGACTGAATCATTATTGAAGTGGTTCATATATTTGGTGAACAAAGGCTTTGATTGCAAACAACTGGATTCAGGAACAATAAAATGCTAGGGTGTGGGAAATGTCAAGTGAATGTACTGGCATTTAATGTCAATAGACAGTAATAGGTATAGTTCCAAGATCACTGTAGGTGTAGTTCCTATAGTTCTATACCTTCCAAGATCACTGGCATAGTAGGAGGGAGAGAATTAGGGAGAATGGACAGACAGGTATGGAGTATCACTTCCTCCTTGAGGTAAGTGAGGTTGGAGGATCATTCTGTAGTGGGCAGAGAATTTGTGCTCTATGAACTGACTTTGAATGGTGACTCATTAGTGGATGTAACACCATGGAGAGGTTCGTACAGGGGACAGTGGAATGGACAGGAAGATCCAGACTCTGAAACCTCTCAAGAGGGCCATAAAGGAAGGGTAAGTAATCCAACTAGCCCTCATAAGACCTCGCAAGTAGGAGATTTTGGATAGAAGTATTTTGATGGAGAGTGAAGATTGGAGTATTTTAATAGAAGTTGGTGTAAGACCTCTTGGCACAGGGTATGGGTACTCCTGTATATTTAGTAAGGCTGACACAGCAGAGTAGAAGAAAAGGTCTGTCGCGTAATCTCCAGGTTCCCTGATAAGAGAAAGCATCTGGTATTTTGATGTGATGCTGCCTGTAGGACATCTTGGGTTTGTGGGCCCAAGTCAATGGCTGTAGCAGTCAAGTAATTAGGAGGACTGCAAGGAAGTTATTAGTGGAGAACCACACTGGGGTTGCACTTACATTGGAGCTTGGATAGGAGAAGGAGCTTATAGTTGGAGGGGGGCAGGGTAGTAGTTGAGGCCATTAAATAAGGGGTCTGTCACACTGTAAAGCAAAGCCTATGACCATTGGGACATGTTATTGTTTCCTGTGTGGTTAGATTGGAGGGTTGCCTGAGGCACCATGCTTTTCTCATGGTAGCTCATGTATAGCCAGTCTACATGTTTGTTATTGTCTTCAAGATAAGAAGAAGTGTAGAGAAGCAAAGGGGACAGTTCCCATCCATGGTATGCAGGATGCATATAGCCTGGTAATCTTGTGGCCTCCAGCTTTGGATGGTGGCCACTGTGTGGAGGATTCTCTTTCAAAGTGAAGAGGTCTACTCATGGGGTATCATGTAGTGAAGATGTCATTCTGGGTGTTTGTGCTGAGTGACTTGGAATGGGTTACAGTTGAGTGTGTTGGCAGTAATACTTGGGCCTACAGCCGTACTGGTTTAGGAGTGTCCAATCTTCTTTGAGGTGACGTCTCATAATGGTCTACAGCCATTCTGCTCTAAAGACAGTCGAGCTCGTTTAAGGTGATGTCACCAATGTACCAGTCCTATATACGTAGGGTCAACTGAATCAGTACAATAGATCCTGTTTCACCCTGTTTGTTGATATAGAAATAAAGGGCTGGTATTGCCCAAGGATATTTGGGTGTCTTTGCAGACCAGCACATCCTGGAGAATGAGGAGTATCTTGTACACAGTCAGTGAAATGTATGCCCCAACTGGCGAGAGCTGCATCAGTGGTTAGTGAGCCTGTCAGTTCCAGAAGTAGGAATGAAGTCTCTGCAATAGATCCTGTGCAGAATTAGAGTGTTTCTTGGCAAGTCAAGCCTGAGTCGAGATGCTTTTGTAAAACATAATATTCATAGTGGGTGCATTCATAGCCTGACATAATGCATCATGGCAACAGTCGATGTCATGTGCCCTAGTAACTGCTGAATTCTTCCAGTGGGGCCCTTGAATTGGTAGGAAGGTTGGAGGCTGTAGACTTGAGCTTCTCCACCCAGTCTTGAGATAGGCACAGAGCCGGCATGGAATGGAGAACCTCCCCAGGGTTTGGCATGGTCTGTGAAGGGATAAAATGTTCTCTCTCTTGGCAATGTATGGACCCAAGCAGTAAGAGTCATGCAGGTAATCTTGAATGATCATAGTAAGTCCTATTACATGTCCACTACTAGCAACCATTCATTGAAGCAGGGGTAAATGTGGATCCCTTGCAGTCACCAAAGTGTACATGCCAAAGCCATGCATTTGGTAAATATTATCTGTACCATGGAGAGCCTGAATGGTAGCACCTTGAATTTGAGGGTGTCAGTACTGATCTGGAACTGCGGAATGGATGCGGACATGAACGTATGTATTATTTAATCAAAGAGTGTGAACTAACCTCCATTTCTTAACAGCGACATAATGCCTTGCATGGAATTACCATTCAGAACTTTTTGAATGGGATAAAATGATTTACTTCTTTGCTGACCTCACTCTTTCTGAAATGGTAAAGTAGTGCGAATAGACACTGTATAACCTCGGACTGGTCTATCGCACTTTTTGGTAGTAATTTAGGAACTCTCTCTGGTAGGCTCGGAGGGGGAAGGTGCAGGGAAGTTTTATTTTGCATTCATACTGTACCCTGAAGCAACTACCAGTCATATGTGATGAATTCCCAGGTGGGAATGGTGATTTAAGCAGTCCCCAAGTAGGGGTTGGTTGCTAAGAGGCAAATTTGTGCTGCTTTTAGGTGCTGTCTCCTGTCAGAATCGATGCATTTCTTGTCTTATTGAGGCTGGGTATCATCCCAGCAGCAGCGATAGTCCTGTGATTGCCATTTGTATTGTGGGCAGTTGGGTAAAGGGTCTTGCTGTCTGGATGAGTAGAGCTGGTACTGGAGAATTGAGGCCATGGGTACAAATGTGTCCTCAGCTGAAAGGGACTGATGGCCATGCATCAAGCTGTGTCTAGACTCTAGTCCATATGGGCATGAAAAAAAGGCCTTCTTCGTCTCTGGAACCACAGTTGGAGTGATAGTGCATTGTTGCCATCTGTTGCCTTGAGAGCTGGGTATGGAGGACTCTGTATGGAAGACTCTATAACTAAAGTCTCGGTATTGAGGGCTCCGCACTGAGGGCTCGGTATCGAGGGCCTTGTATCGAGGGCTCTGTACCGAAGGCTTGGTATCAAGGGCTCTTGCACGGAAGGCTCTGCACTGAGGGCTCTGCACTGAGGGCTCTATCACAAGAAGTCCTGATATGGCAAAGTGGCAACCATCCTTATCAAGCTCCAAGATGGTGGAGCCACGTAGCGCTCAAGTTGCTAGCGTAGTCAAAGCAGATGATGTGGTCAGAGTGGTTAAACAAAGTGGTGAACTGCAACGTTTGGAACTGGCAGCTGGGCAAAGCTGCTTTTTTCAAGCCTTTTTTCCTGTTTAACGCCCTCAAGCTTGAGGTGCTTTGTCCTCTCATACATTTTTAGGCATATTGGAGGTAGCCATTGTTCTGAAGCACATCCCATACTCTAGGGGCCCTAGCTGTCAGGAGCACTTCCTGGCATCTAAATTGAACCTTAGTTCCCTGACCTTTGCTCCATTGGAGCACATCCTGCCCTCCTCTGCAGGGGAGAACAGGTCTCTACCCATCTCCATGTGTCCTCCCCTCACATACCTGTATGTTGCCAACATATCCCCTCTGAGTCTCCTCTTCTCCAGGCTGAAGAGACCCAATTCCTTCAGTCTCACCTCATACCCCATCCCCTGCAAACCGGCCACCAACCTTGTGGCCCTACGCTGCACTGACTCCAACCTGGCTATATCCTTTCTGTAATGAGGGGCCCAAAACTGAACACAATACTCCAGTTGCGGGCGCACCAGAGTCATGTAGAGTGGTAGTAATACCTCTCTTGATCTGAAAGCCACACTTCTGGCTATGCAAGCAAGGGTGGCGTTCGCCCTCTTGACCACCACATCACACTTGTGACTCATGTTTAGCCTGCAGTCAACCAGCACCCCGAGGTCCCTTTCACAAGTGCTGCTCTCCAGCCACTTGTCACCTAACCTGTACCTATGACAGCTATTCCTATGCCCCAAGTGCAAGACCTTGCACTTATCCACATTGAACGCCATCCTGTTGTCACCTGCCCACTTCCATAGTCTGTCCAGATCCTTTTGGATCTGGAGTACCTGCTCCTCAGTTGTGGCCACTGCCCTGGTTTTAGTATCGTCTGAGAATCTGATCAGCAGACTGTTCACCCCTTCTTCCATGAAAGTGTAGGAAATTACATGAGAAATGTTGAGGAAAGCTGAGGTAATCATATAGGTAGAGGATCCTGAGGCACTGCAAACGGTGTTTAAAAGCGAACTG